AACAATGTATTCATCCCTATTTAGATTATTTTTATTATTCTTCTACAAACAATAATTTTTCAATCAACACAACCTTATCTGGGATCACAGGATACTCAACATCCAGGATACTCCAATGCCAGCTGAGGATGATGGCCCAGATGTACCCAAGTGACTCACTGCAGGGCACAGAGCTGCAGTGGCTCTAGGCTCTCCAACACTCCAGCTTTTTACTCAGAAGATGCTTCATGTAGGGCTACTTCCACATTAGTAAATCTAATGGGGACTGAAGATGTGGGAAACCCTTTCCAAAGATGCCTGCAAAGTCTCTGTAGAAGCCAGTCTAAATCTGAGATGCAAAAATCAGCAAGATCCAACTCACACTCTGCAGGGGCTCTCAGGTGTCCCTCCACCACATCCCACAAACACAATGCAGGCTGCACAGAGCTGCTGCTCTGGATCCCCAGAGATGAACAGTTTTATCCTGCCAGAAGAAAGCAGATGCACTGCTTCCACCCCAGGCCCACTGAACAGTTGTGCTCCTGTCACACTCTACCAGAGCTAATACAGCCAGTCAGGACCAAACTCCCTGCACAGGAAGGCAGGCATGGTATCTGCATCTGTACAAAGCTGACCTACAACACAGATAAATAAATGAACAGAAGATCATTTTATACTTGCCTATTTATACATGAAACTTTTCCCTTCACACTCCAGATACAAAAACCCACTCACATCTGAGAGAAGAACAAGATCTCAGTGCCAAGGCAGGGTATTTATAATGGAAAGAGCTTCTCAGCCAGAACTCTCAACATGGATTAGTGACCTGCACTGAGACAATTTTGAAATCACAAATTTATAGAGTAACTGGAGAGTCCTGACAAGACTTCATTCTGTCCTTTTGACAGGCACTCAGAGACTTAAATTTAATCCCCACATCATTCAACACACATCATTCCTCACACCTAGAGAGACACCAGACACATTTGAATATTTATGCAAGTCTTAATTATACAAGCATTTTCAGCTCTCACACATTACAAATGTATAAATGCCTAAAACAATGCCTAAAAACTCAAAAGATGGAGAATTAATTAAAAATTGATATATTTACTATCTCTTCCATACAATGTTCAAATCATCATCATTTCTGTCCTTATTAAAATGAATTTTCAACAAGCATAAGTGCATTTAACCAATTATGCACACAGCCTTGGGAAATAATCTGCCAATTCACATATAACTTCAAATAACTTCATTACAAAGACAAGATAACACAAATTAAAGCAAGAGTTTTAAACTCATCTGTATTTTCTTAATTTAAGATTGCAGAAGTCATTTCTTAAATCAGCTTCTATTAGAAATTTCCTTGAGATCCTTCCCTGTGCCCTGCATTATCAACAGTACCAGACAATACTTAGAATAATGGACAGAAAAAAACAAGAAGTATTTAATACACCACAGTAGGATTAGTTTAAAGAAAACTAGTCTCTTGCTTCTTTCCCCTCATCCGCATTCATTTTTTGCCATATTGTATTTATAAAATACTCTGCAATGTATGAATTTGAAAGTTTATCTCATACCAAAAGAAATCTGAGGAGGGGGAAATTAACACATAAATATCAGGAACATTATTCCAAGACTCAATAGGCATAAGTGCTTTAAATAAAACTGGCATACCTGCAATGGTGTGCACGTTCAGGTTTGATACTACAGCACTTTGGACATTTGTAGATCACTTCTCCTGGCTTCAGTTGCAAATTATCCATGTATTCTTTAGTGGCATTTCCTTTGGGTACAGCTCCCTGAAATAATTTCAATTAAAGGAGAAAAAGCTTCTTAAATGGCATGAGAGCATTTAAAAATGCATTTTATAGACTTCATACCCGTAATCTCAGGATAGTTGCTGAAATAAGTTCATTTATTCAAACCTACTCTGCCATAAGCCAGAATTATTTCTACATTAATAACTTATCTCTGCTTGACCTCAAATCCAGTTTCATTTCAGCAAGACTCATCTATAGCCAAGTATTAGCATAATTCTGATAGAATCTGTCACCAGCATGGATAAAACTGAGAGGAAGGCACATCTTTACATGCAGATGCAAGCACTACAGGTCCAGTATTTGCTGAGAAGCTACTCTGAACAAGCACTACTCAAGAGACAAGCTTCTTACAGCAGCATATGTTAATTGTGGTGATTTTCCATTACTAGACCAAGTCACCCACCAAAGTTAAATCAGCAAGAACTACTTGAAAGGTGTTATATCTACTCTCTGAATCCAAAATTTAGCCACCTGCCCCATGTCCACAAGTTTCTGAGAAACAGCAGTCACCCTTTTTTTCCTCTAAACTTAAGCCCTTAGCTTGGACACTGTTCAGCATGAACCACCACTGGTTCTTTATTGTACATCTGGTATCTTCTGCTGCCTTCTGCTACTGGGAGGGTTTGTGCAGCTCATTCAGAAAAAAACCACTGGCAACTTCATCACTCCAATAGACACCTTAAGGAAATTTTTGGGACAGAATTAAGAAACCAGCAGACACTTCAGATTCAACTGTAAAATATTTCTCCACTTAGGCAGAAATTTTTTGTTGCCTATGGCCTGGAATAACAATCTGGTGTTTGCATTGCCTGAGAAACAGCCCAAGTTCTGCCCCAGATGAACTCTTTGGCTAAGTGGTGCTTCAAACTGGAGCCAGTTGGCTTTGCTGGCTGGGAGAGTTTCTTAAATACTCACACTGTACTGCTGAAGTGTTTGTTGCAATGTGACTGTTCTCACTAAAGTTAATACCTTAGTGTAAACATGGTGAAATATTTCAGAGAGAGCTCCTAAAGCACAAATGTATTTTTTCTCAGTTAAATTTGTGCTTGCAAAACACATCTCATATTCACCTGTTAGTAAGGACAATAAGTTCAGGCCATGCTTTTAGCATTTTGCTGATTAAAATAGGCTCTGCTTCAAAGACACCTTCCATAGTCTCCAACATTCACCAGTTCCTTTCAAAGAAAATTCTATTTTTACAATTATAAGAATAAATTTAGTTCACATTTGTTTTCAGGGAGTTTATTCCTTTTTCCTCCAATCTTAGTTTCTACCACACAGTCACGTCTCCATTCTGGGACTCAACAGGAAAGCAGTGGAGGAAAAAAGGTAGCAATGCATTTCAGTTTCTATCATGTTTTATCCATAAAGAACAACACAGATCTAGAAAGGCACACACTTTTTCCAGGACATATTTTTAAGCAATCTGTTCTTAAACCATTCACTTTCTTAGCTGTCACAGTCTGCAAAAGTTGTAACACTTCATCACTGGGTGTGGGCTCAGAAGTAAATCAAAGACCTAGCAAACCATTAACTACAACATCCTGCTTCTTTTTGAACACTCCCATAACTTCTATATACACTGTTAGCCTCTCAAAAATCTGGAGAAAAGAGGCTTTTCCCCTTGCCCCTCTCTCCCCAGATTTATTCCCTAAATAGAGTAATAAATTTTAGTACCCCCAGGGACGGGGCAGCCACAGCTTCTCTGGACAACCTGGGCCAGTGTCTCACCACTGTCACACTATGGAATTTTTTCCTAATGTTTAACTTAAATCTCCCCTCTTTCAATGACCCTCTCTCTCCCTTATAAATTAATTTAATACTGCCTGCTCCTCAAGTAAAAAATTCTGTTTTCATTAACAGAACAACATGAAAATAGAAATATCATTGCTTCTAACTGACCGTTCTGCATCTAACACTGCTCTTCCTAGCAGGAGGTGATTGATACCACTTCCCCAAATGTCTCAGCAGACCATGAGCTACAGGAGAGGACAATCCAACGCCAAGAAGGTTCACATACTTACTGGATCAGTTAGCATAGTTCTCAGATGCGATGACAAAGCCAGCACTGCCAAGCAGTTAAAGAGAACACCATTGATCACAGAGTACCAAAAGTCTTTGGAAGGCAGCAACATGACAAAAGTCACTACGAAGTCTGCATAGACAACCAGAAGCCACGTCATGATGGCACAGACCATCCCACAGCCATCTCGGATGAACCAAACCCTCTCTGCCATGTCAGCCTCAGAGGAAGAGGAGTCGTAGCTGTCATTTTCAGCCAGAAGTGGGTGGTGCTCAACATCACGGAACCTGTGCCCTGATGACTGCATGGTTTTCTGGCCTCGCCCTGCAGGAAGCCAAGATACCATTATCATCACACATGAGGAAAACTGGAAATACAGGTGGCCTTCATTTTTCATTCCTGTACAATAAAACAGATCCAAGTTCAAAACAGATGACTGAGATTTTTTTTTTCCATCAAAACCTGAACAATTCTGTGACGACATAAAGATGAAATAGTTCTGTAACCAAAAGATACTAATGTAAAAGGTTTAATTAATATAAGCTATTAACTGAATTCTGTAATCTTTTACTTTTTTTTTTTTTAATAATGCAGCTTTAATGCTTGACAAAGGGATTTTAGAATGGTTTTATTTCTATCTTGCTGTGACTCTAAACCATTGTTCCCCTTTTGTCAAGAAGCCTCTTTTATCTCAAACTAAAAATGGCAAAATCTTCATTAAATTACACCTCGTGTGTCAGAAAACAGTGAATTATGTCACCAGACTGTGGACTTTTCACATTGCTCCAGCAACCCAGGGAAGAGCAGAAAGAAAAAACAGACTGGAAATCAAGCTGTTCCAGCACACTGTTCACAACAACAGAGCAAGTTAGGAAGCAGCTAAATTTGTTGGCAGAAGTGATATTATGTTGAATAAAAACCACAAACTTGTTTCAAAGATACACTGGATAACTTACAAAATGGTCTCAGATCAGACCCATCTTCAGGGGAAAAAACCCATGGTGGTTAAATTAGCATGGCAACAGATTACATGAATCAGATTTAAAAAAAAAAAAGTTAATTAATTTCATTTAATAAAAACTCTTCCAGGGCTTTGTTTTTGTTCCCATGTGGAACAAAAACAAGACTTGAAACCTTAACATTTTTCACAAAAACAGATTTATTTCCCAAACACATCTAAAAAGCACAGATAGGAAACAGAAGAATTCAAGTGCTGTCAAGAAACAGGACACAAATTAAAGCTTAAACATTATGCATTAAGAATAGCCCTGCTACTTCAAAAGTCTGTGTTCTTAAAATCTTATTGATTCCTGCTATTAAAGGGTCATGTCTGAGATAACCTTGAGAGCAGTATATTGATTAACAACAGCCACTCTGAAGTCTGTTTCTTCCCCTGATTAATGGCAGCCTTTACAGGACTGGCAGGAATCACAGCACTTCAGTTTGCATCCCCAAAACTTGAATACAGGATCATTTTGTTAGTCTAAAATGGTCCAGATGACCATTACCAGGTAAAGAGACTCACATAGAGATAATTTTCAGATGAAGCTATGAATTTTTAAATCCCTTAAAAAAACCCCTCAGTCCTATCTACCAGGAATCAATTCAGATAAACTTTTTCTGCCCAGTAAACATTTCTGATCCTTAAGTCTTGATGCCAGAACTAGGTAGGAATAATCCAAGAAAAAAGAAATTAAGTACATGCAGATTGCAGGGTAGAAATTCCAGAGTGATAGTTAAAATAACTGTCTCCTACAAGTACCTCAGCTACATAAGTGCGGGCTACATTCCCTGGCTGGGACACAGATCAAACAAACTGAAACATAACCCTGGTAACTCAGATCTAGTTAACAATGTCATATTATATTTTCTAGTAGTTAAACATTGTGCTTTCTGTCCACACGTTGGGGTTTTTTGGTTTGTTTGGGTTTGGTTTTTTTCCCCACAAAAGTCACCTCTCCTAACCAGAATGTGGCTACTAAGCCATGGGTGAAAGACAGAACAGACATCAAGACTCTGAAAAAAATAAATCAGTATTTGTTTTATGTCAGAACAAAAGTAAATTTTAGATTAATTCTGTGACTCTTTTAGCACATAAATTAAAAGGCATAAAATTCCTGTATCAATTTTGTTTAATTGTATTAAAGACAACAAATTATTTTTGCACAACAGAAAAAATCCACATACCTCACAAATGTTCTGTATGTTATTCTGACATCATGTCCTTCCTTTGGGCTGTCCTGGGCTATTCACATAGTCATATCTGATGTAATCTGAAAAGACATCATCAACTAACTGATTGGTACTCTTGCTTCATCAGGAAAAGAAGGGTTAACCACAAATAATCTACATAGATAGAAGTATTTTGAAATAGGCTGCAAGTTTACAGCAAACAAGCTTCTGACCAAGAGGAAAAAACTGCTAGATTAAGCTATCAAAGAACAAATTTTAAAACTCTAAACAGTGTTTCAAGTTAACATTGTATCAGTCTTTTGTGGCTGTTTCTTAAGATGAGTTGGATTTACAGAACTTAGCATTACAAACTAAGGTATCCAAAGACCTACTTCTTGTTTCTGTTTGCCACAGAGAATGCAAAAATAATCATCTTGCTTGATTGTCTTCAGAGCCTTCAGGAAGGTTTTAGGTAGCAGGTTATTAATAACAAGTATCTTTGCCCACCGTTATTTTAAAAATTGTAAGAGAAGATGGGAAACAAATAGGTTTTACCTGTAATTATTAGACCAAGCTATGGCAAATTTAAAATGAAGAAACTACTCATTCTAGAATCTGTACATAAAAGAAAAAGGCCTGCAACTGTGCCAAAGGGAATACGCACTTTGAAAGTTTTCCTTGCTAGAATTCCACCACATAGGCAAATAATTACCATATGGCTTATGATACACAACATTTATAGTCACTTAATTCTAAAGGAAAGCTTCTGAAACTAGCTTGTTATAAAAAATATTCCAAACGCAACATGACTGATGGGAGTTATTCAGCACACATCTTGAAATTTTGCCAATTCAAGGAGAATTATTCCAATGCAGCCTTCCCCTGAAAATGAGAAGGCTCATGTCTTATTTAAACAATCTCTTACTCTCCTGCAAGCCTAAAAGGCAATGCAATGTTTATTATGCACATATAATTGCATGAAGCTACTGATTGCTTTCTGTTTTGCTTTATAAATAAGCTTTGATACTTTTGTTGAACAAGTTTTCACAATACTGTGAAACCCACAGTCATTAAGTTGTCACTGGCATGGCACTTTGCAGACGCTGAGTAGAATCACAGAAAAAAGGAGACAGGTTGAGTGTAGCACATTAATTTGCAATGTCACCCACCCATTCTCTGACTTGAAGACGACAAGCTATAGAAAAGATATGCTAAGCCTCTGCAGGTGAAATATTAAAGTCAGAGTAATCATTTGAAATAGTTACAATTCATTGACAAGACAAAACATGATTTGTTCAGTCAGTACCCTGATCCTAAAGGCAATTCTCTGCAAAATTTCACTGTTTATTGTAGCCTCATCAGTTACTGGTTCACATGGAAGTGCGACCACAGTTCAACTTTTGTGACAATAACCGATTTAGGCATTCTCATGTAATTTATCCCTCCCCTGCTCCTGTATACTGTTCTCCTCTCCAGCTGCCATTACCCCCTGCCTTGGTCCCCTTCAAGGAGAAGAGGATTAATGTTTGAAAAGCACTGAGCCTTTGCTGCACACTTAAAGTACAATCCTGCAGGACAAAGCATGACACTTCAACCTCTCTATGCCAAACAACAGGTTTTAACTTGACCTTTCTAAAATCCTTATCTACCATTGTAAGATAACAAGAAATTATTCAACATTTCAAGCAAAATGCCATCTGTCTGCAGGCGTGATTATATGAAACCTAAACTGATGCAGTTCCACTCTGAGGTGTTACTTGAAATTCTCAGGTTGAGAATGCATCATCTGAGCTGCACCTCATTGTTAATGAGATGCAGGCCCAAAATGCAGATGTATTGTTGTAATTAAAAAAATGTAAGGTACATTACAAACTCATTATGACTGAAAAACAGTATTGTAAAATGACTGTGCCTGTAGTTTCCCAGTGGAGCTAAAGAAGTCCCACTGCAACAGCAAATCTTCCTGCTCTAAGTTTACTGGAAGACAGTTACCAAGGGCATTAGGAAGATGAATGATGCAGTACAACTACTGTATCATGAGGCCCCTCAGCTGTCAATTAAATAAAAAAGGGCATTTCAGGGTTAATCACAGTCCTTTTCCCTGCCATCTTTTGAGGAAAAAAAGGAAAACATTGTTGTAGGG